AAAATATAAAACATATAAAAAAAAAAAATAATAATAATAATATATATATATATATATATATATATATATAAATTATAAAATTGTGTAGATAGAAATAGATTTTTTATTAGTGTATAATGTTCGTCGTTATTCCTATCTATCTATCTATCACATGTTCAATGTTACGCTTAAGAAACTCACCGTGTGTTAAACACAACAGCACAGGGACCCACAGAAGACACAGTGCAGACATCCTCACAGATGATAGGTGCTGCTTTCGGAGTCGTGTCTCTGTCTTTCACACACACACAAACAAAACACAGGCTTAAACTGAAAAGCAGGAGGTCTTGGCAAGTAGTCCACAGCGAGACAGGAGCTCTGTGAAGGAAATACGTCTTCTGGATCTGAGAACAGATGAGCTTGACAGTGTAGAAATGATGGTGGGGAGATGATGGTGGGCTTCACTCTTAGTTCAGACCCTGATGATGTTTCCTCCTGTCCTTCTAGTCTGGTGGGAGATGAGTGTTGAGGAGCAAGGGAGACCAATGAGGGAGTATCAGAGATGTGACGCCCCTCAGTTCAATAAGTCCAGGCACAGAGTATTCAGTTACTCCATGAAAGAAAAAAGAGCTGAGATGCCAGACTCAGGTTTCAGTCAGTAACACTTCTTCTTGACCTATTTATATGTTAGCAAGTACTTTCTTAATAATGGATATTAATACACTTTTTAGAGATAAAATACTCTGATCAGTACCTAATCTGATTTCTAAAATATATATGGTGATATATTCACTAAACAACAACGTTTTCTTGACAGTGGAAGACTTTGAGCTGAGGTTTGTGATTGATTTAGAATGAGAAATGTATGCAGGTAATGGAAGACAAGTGACATTAAATAAGAATTTTGTATTATAAATTTATGTTACACATCAGCTGGCTGATTTAACCTGAGAAAAAAATATTTTAAGTGACGTAATGTTTGCCACAGTGAGTTTGAAATGTAAAATGAATCTTAATGATTATGTGTCTTTGGCTTCATGCAAACATACATTCAGACATTCCTTTCTACTCTAAATTATATTTATTGCTTATGTATTTTGTGAGTTATTGCTTATGTTAATGTGTGAACATGAGGATAAATCTCTCAGAATCAATTTCAACTTGAAGTTATAGGCTTATAGCCAATTATGAAGAGGAATGACCTGCTAAATGTAGCCTATGCTTTTGCTTTGCATTGCTTTGAGGAAATTCACATTGCATTGTACATAAAATAACAAGATTTAGCAGGCTGCTAAATGAACTTCAACATGCACTGGATTTAATGTTTGTGTCTTTGTCTCATTTAAATAAATGCATATGAAGTTGCATGCTCATAAGTGTTTACTATGACCGGATGTAGTTATGGCTCGTGCCATCTGTTATTTTGCTAAAGCGTCTGTATTTCCAACGGTCAAACATCAAGGCATAGCCTATGTCTAACAGCGAATAATGATCACCAAAAAAATGCTAATAATACATCATTCATGGGCCTGCGTTACATGCGGATGAATTAAAGATAATTTAAATTACATTCCCTAGATTTTTAAACAATATTCAGACGCAACAACATTCTGATGCAAATACCAACAACGTCGACGGTATTTCCCCTGTCAACAGTAATAAACGTGAACTGTAGGAGCTTGTTTTGTGGTTTGAATATTTCTCAGCCTACCGTTACCGATTACCACACGCGTTTATTTAATAAAACGTTCCTTTCCCACGCTTGTCTTCATTCAGTCAGATACGATCCCAAAAAACGGCTTCTCCGTGGATGAAGTCGATTCGCTCGCGCCGTTAAATCATTCCGTCGGTCACGCGAGGTGTTTATTTGTGGGTCACGGAAATTAACCAGATTGTGCTGCTGTCCCCGCATAAATGTTCGGTATAAATTAGAATATGCACAAAATAATCTGTTTGAACCGGAGCACTACACGTTAAGCCATAACGTGGTGCGTTCATTGGCGATATGACACGCTGTAGGGAAGGATGCTGCATTTGGGATAGACTGGGAGGGAGCAGGGAGGGATATGCAGACTGATGCATTGCAGTTGTGGGATAGATGGAAAGAAAGATGTCTGGGGGTTAACATTTCAAGTCGTTATGGCAACGTAAATAGATGGTTTATCGACCTTCGCGTTCATTCACGCTATTTCGGATGCGCAAGTATAGTGCTGAACGTGACGCGTGACGCAAGACGCGTTTTATCTCAAATATTCGTTACATGAAGGTCGGATTATTCGAGAACAGATTATTCTCGGAACTGGCAGTAAAACCATCACGTTAATATTAATAAGCATGACCCTAAATCTCTCTCTCTCTCTCTCTCTCTCTCTCAGACACACACACACACTCATTTTACATTGTTATAAATAAAATGCTTTTGAATCTCTCATGGGGAAAAAATGTGACGTTAAGGGTATCTTGAGTAATAATTAATAATTTGAGGGTTTAATGCCATAACAATAGTGTGAGAAACAGACCGATTCGGTATTCCAGTCAGTGAGGCTGTGAACTCGAGAACCAGTCCGATTCGAAAACGAATTATTCAAATCGGTTTTGTGAATTAAAACTGATTCATGAAAAGATTCGATGTGTCAACAAATTATTCATGTACGAATCGAACATCACAATTATGAACGCGGAAAAAAAGCCAGAAAGAAGAGTAAAGTTTTAGTGACTGATATTTCATCTGATAAAAATATATCATTAATTCGAAAGACTTTGGATACCGCGTGCGAGTGATGTGGATTATTATTTTTTTTGGGGGGGGGAGATTGACAGTCTCAGTCCTCGTTAACTTTTATTAAGAAGAATGGTCAGGATATTCTACAATGCACATTTTGTTTCCAGAAGAAAGTACAGATTTTGAGCGACCTGAGGGTGAATAAATCATTAGGGGCTGAAGGTCAGTTGTAATATAGGTTTCTCACCTCTAGGGGGAACCACACTTTCATTTATGAGGTGAGCCACAATTACAGATGGATTATATTGTAATAGAGCATGGGTACTGAAGCCTGTTAAAATCTCTTCTCTTCAGTTTTTTTTATTTTTACACTGCAGATTCTAGGTAAAATATATATTTTATGTGAATTGCTCTTCCTGTTTAATACTTTGTCTTAACTACATTTTTGTGTGTGTGACGAACCACTTAATTTTTGCAAAACGATTTGTTCTACTTTAATTTGCTTTTTCTTTACGGGGTTAACATATTATGAACAGTTAACAAAACAAAATATTAAACAATGTGTAGCCTAGGCTACTAGATTGTGTGCATTGCATGATTTAAAAAATAAATAAAGTAGATAAAACGCCAATAGAATGAACTCAACTTGACGGGGCTACATTCTATTCTGACATCATAATAGCCATTACACATTACAAAGAATCCTGGTGAAAAGAGCTTCATTTGGTATCTGACTGTTGTGATTGCTGCTTGCTTATCGCTCATTCAAGCCAGTTTTGTTGCTGTTGTTGAGATAATCTTCACTCCAGCATTTCAACATGTGGTGCAAAGACAGAAATACTCTCCAGAGTCAATCTATGCTATGCCTAGGCAAACAGATTTTTGGCAGACCTCCCTTACAATGTGTAGCCTAGGCTACTAGATTGTGCGCATTGCATGATTTAAAAAATAAATAAAGTAGATAAAACACCAATAGAATGAACTCAACTTAACGGGGCTACATTCTATTCTGACATCATAATAGCCATTACACATTACAAAGAATCCTGGTGAAAAGAGCTTCATTTGGTATCTGACTGTTGTGATTGCTGCTTGCTTATCGCTCATTCAAGCCAGTTTTGTTGCTGTTGTTGAGATAATCTTCACTCCAGCATTTCAACATGTGGTGCAAAGACAGAAATACTCTCCAGAGTCAATCTATGCTATGCCTAGGCAAACAGATTTTTGGCAGACCTCCCTTTTTGCCTGAGACTGAACAAAAGAAGCCAGGTGAAAGTCCTCCAGGACGTCACGGGCCAAGACCTCCTACCTATTTAATGGATGTGGCAGAGAGAAATGTCACACAATCTTCATGTGAGTCTGATCTGAAAGCTAATGCTCACCTTTCCTTACCCCCACTGCCTAGTCTTGCAAGTCAATTAGCGAGGGTGGACAAACAAACATGTCTGCATGAATGCCCTGTTGCGGTGTCCACGAACTTGCCTGTTCTAGAACCAACCCATTTTCCTGTGAAACCTCTAGTTGGACAGAACAAGTCAGCTGGACATTTCTTCTTGCCAGAAGCTGACGAGAAGACATCAGTTTCAGATGAAAGACCTCTGGGGCGTCGAGGGTCCAGACCTACTAACCATTTAATGGTCATTGCAAAGAGAAAGGTCAATGACCCTTTATATGAGTCTGATCGGAAAACTACCGCTCACCTCTCCTTTCCCCGGCTAACCAGTTTTGCAAGTCGACCAGCGAGGGTGGACAGACTTACGTCTCTGCATGAATGCCCTGTTGCTGTGTCCACGAACTTGCCTGTTCTAGAACCAACCCATTTTCCTGTGAAACCTCTAGTTGGACAGAACAAGTCAGCTGGACATTTCTTCTTGCCAGAAGCTGAAGAGAAGACATCAGTTTCAGGTGAAAGACCTCCGGGGCGTCGAAGGTCCAGACCTACTAACCATTTAATGGGCATGGCAAAGAGAAACGTCAGTGAACCTTTATACGAGTCTGATCGGAAAACTATCGCTCACCTCTCCTTACCCCGGCTGCCCAGTTTTGCAAGTCGCCCAGTGAAGATGGACAAACGTAGGCCTACGTCTCTGCTTGAACACCCTGTTGCTGTGTCCACAAAAATGACTGTTCTGGAACCAGCCCATGTTCCTGTGAAGCCACTTGCTGGCCCACAGAAAAGATGCAGTGTTGTTGAGGCAAGGAATCTCACGTCTTTTCAGGGTACATTTGACGATGAGGACGTCAAGAGGAAGAGGGCTCAGCCACCAAAAGGATTCCCCTGTTTGGTCAGAAGTTTTGGGGGGGAAAAAATATATAATTAAAATAAATAAATAAATAAAAAATCTATTTGTGCATCAAGGAAATGTTCCTTATTCATGCATCGAAATATTCTTTGTGCATCAAAATTGCTTATTGCCATTGGATAGTCTAATCTAAATAATTTTCTGTATCAAAAGGCAGTAGATTGAATATGACACATTAATTATTTTCAATGATATTATTAAGAGGATATTAGTGAGGAATTTAACTTATGAGTCATTGAGTGGGCAGTTGAAGGTCCCTTTTTGTTGTGCCATGTCTGGTTTAAAAAATGGTCTGTGTTTCCAAGTTACTCCCACACAACTGTGACATGAAAAGATGCCATTTTATATAATAAACATTGAAATAAAACCATTGAAATAGATGAAAATTCTTCATCTTTGGAATCTGAAGTCTGGTTGGTGATTTATCAATAAATGCAATAAAAACAATCAAAAAACAACTGCTCCTTAAATGAATATATTTTGCGCCTTTTCAATCAGGAGAAATTACTCCTTGAACACAAATTTAAAGGCACAGTGCACCTTTTTGGTACCCAATTTCCAATTGTCACACTGTTGGTCTTCATGAGGTACATCTCAAAAACTGTCACTGGAAGTATAATAAACTTGGTGCAGTTCAAAAGTTTGGGATTGGTAAGATTTTAAATGTCTTATATTATTATCAATAATGAAAACAGTTGCGCTACAAAATTTTATGTGGAAGCTGATTTTTTGCCAGGATGCTTTGATGAATTGAAAGTTAAAAGAAATTCATTTATTGTTGACATCTTGTATCAATATAAAATATTTACTGTCACTTTTGTTCAATTTAATGCTACAAAACAGTAGCCTAGTTGGAACGGCAGTTTATGTATGTGTGTTAAAACATATTTCACATAATTCACACGTTGGCGCAATGTATTTGGTATACACGGAACTCTGCAATGAAAGGAGA